GTGGCCAAACTCCGCGACGGTGGGACGGCCGGCGGGAGTCCGCCAACGGCTGCGGCGAGGAACAGGACTCAAGGGAAGAGGGGCGGGGCGTGTTCCAGCCTCACGCTGGAGGCTGGTGTGCAGGCGGCACGTGTGGCGGCGCCACGAACGTTAGGGCGCTGGCTGCAGCACGGGGACACGGCGGGAAGGTGGAACGGCGGAGCCGCCACGTCAAGGCGGCAAGCCCAGCACGGCTGCTCGACGTGGCAGCCATGCGACGAGGCCGCCACGGCACCGCGACGGGGCCTAGTGGGCGCGACGGGGCCCAGCGGGCGCGACGGGGGCCTAGCGGGCGCGAAGGGGCCCAGGGGGGGCGCGACGGGGCCTAGGAGGCGCGACGGGGCCTAGGAGGCCCGACGGGGCCTAGCTAGCGCGACGGGGGTCTAGGCTGGGGCACGGGCGGAAGCAGTGGCCGGGGGGATCCTAACCTAAGCATGATACCATGTTATGAAGTGATCTAGCAAGAAAGGAGAAGGCCGCCATGAAATGGCGGCCGAGGTTTAGCTAGGAAGATTGACGAGAGAGAAGAGAATCGATTAGGAAGAGAGAGGGGTACAAGGAGGGGATTGTACCCTCTACAGTAAGGTTCAGTAACAACTACCAAGCCTATCAACGATGTATAACTTATATAATTTTAACACCTAGAACACGAAGCAAGCAGGAATTTTGGTGAACGGCAAATTAGCCCCTCACACAGCCTAGAGGGAAGTCGTGTACAGCAACTGCTCGCAGACGAGCAAGAACATAGTTCCTGGAAAATCAGAAGTACTAAAATTCAATTTCTAAGGCATCGGAATTTCAATTTTTGGACATCTGAAAAATCAGAAGAAACCGAAAAATCGCGTCTGAAAATAAGACAAACAGACAGAGATTGTGTGTTAAGGAGGACCCTGAATCTGACATAAGTCCACGTTGCCCGCTGCTTTTTGCCCACTACTTCTCCCCCCTTTTGCCCGCTGCTTTTCCCCCCATTGCCTGCTGCTTTCCCCCCTTGCCGCTGCATTTCCCCCCCTCGCCCACTGCTCCTCCCTCTCGCGCACTGCTTTTCCCCCCTTTTTTGCCCGCTGTTTCTCCCCCTTTTGCCGCCGATTTCCCCCCCCTTGCCGCTACTTTCCCTCCCTTGTCGCTGCTTTTCCCCCACTTGCCACTGCTTTCCCCCCCCTTTGCCCGCTACTTTTCTTCCCCTTTGCCTGCTGCCTTTCCCCCCCTTGCCGCTGCTTTCCCCCCCTTGCCCGCTTTTCCCCCCTAAGCCGCTGCTCTTTCCCTCCTAGTCCGCAGCTTTTCCCTCCCATGCCCGCTGTTTTTCCCCTTCGCCGCTCATTGTCCCCCCCATGCCCGCTGCTGGGCTGCTTTTCCCCCCTTGCCCGCTGCTTTTCCACCCTTGCACGCTGCTTCTCCCCACCTTGCCCGTTGCCTTCCCCTCCCTTGCCCCTGCTCTTCCCCCCCTTGCCCGCTGTTATTCCCCCCCTGTCCTCTGCTGTTCCCCCCATTGCCCCCTGCTTTTCCCCCTTTGCCGCTCCTCTTCCCCCCCTTGCTCGCTGCTTCTCCCCCCCTTGCCCATTGCTTTACCCTCCCTTGCCCTGCTTTCCCCCCCTTGCCCGCTGTTATTCCCTCATTGCCCACTGCTTTTCCCCCTTGTCCGTTGCTTCTCCACCCTTGCCCATTGCTATTCCCCCCCTGGCCCGCTGCTTCCCCCCCCCCTGCTCCCGCAGCTTCCCCCCCTTGCCTCCCCGCTGCTTTTCCCCGCTTGCCCGCTTTGCTGCCCATTGGGTCCCACCCATCCTTCGGTCCTCTCTCCACTCCTGACCCTCTCCTTTGATTGCCCACTTCCCCCCCACTTTCCCCCATTTTCTTCCGGTTTCTCCCTGCTTTCCCCCCTTAGTTCCCCCACTCGTATCCCCTCCCGCTCTCCTCTACTGTCCCCTGTTCATTCCCCCTCGTATTCTGTCCTGCTTTCCTCTTTCCCGCTGTTTCCCCTCCCTTCCCCCTTGCCCACTACTTATCCCCCATTGCCCACTGCTTTCCCCCCCCTTGCCCACTACTTCTCTCCCATTGCCCACTGCCTTTCCCCTCCTTGCCCACTACTTCTTCCCCATTGCCCACTGCTGTTCCCCTCCTTGCCCTCTACTCTTCCCCTGTTGCCCACTGAATTTCCCCTCTTGCCCACTGATTTCCCCCCCTCGCCCACTGCTCTTCGCCTCTTTGCCCAGTGCGTTTCTCCCCTTTCCTTACTGCTTTTCCTCCCCTTGCCCTCTGATTTTCCCCTCCTTGCTCCCACCAACTCACACGTCAGTTTCCACCCTCGACATCTTCCCGCCCCACACCCTGTGCTCTTCACTCCTCCTCCTCCCCCCCCCCCCTTCCAGTTCCCCCTCTCTCTGTAAGTTCTTTCTTTCCATCTTGTCCAATCCCCGTTTCCCCACCTTCTCCTCGTACGCATCCCCACAGTCGAGCTCCATAACCCTCCTCTAATTGCTGCCCCCTTGTTTTCCCTATCCTCCCCCCCCCTTGTCCCCCTCCCCACTCCACGCAGTTTCTCTGATCTCACCTTCTTTTCCCGCTGTTTTTCCCCCTCCCTTCCCCCCTTGCTTTCCCCTCCTCCCCCTCTTCTAGCACGCAGCCCCCGTGTCCATGACCCACACCCCCTGCAATGGGGGGGAGGGCGGCCCCGGTGCACTCCGACGGTCAGGCAGAGCCGGTAGCCGCCCTTCTCCCTACTCATCAACTTCCATCCCCCCTCCCAACAGTATCGCCCCACCGGCCCGAGTCGAGGTGACCGTCGGCAAGGGCGGGGACCAGGTGCGCTCTGTCTCGCGAGGCCAGAAACGACCTCGGGAGAAGGCAGAGGGATGCCCTGCCTCACGCCTGGAGAAGCAGGAGCGCGAAGCCACACGCTCGCGCTCCCCAGGTCGCAAAAAGTCCTCTGTCCCCCCTCCGCCACTCCCACAGGCCAACACTAGCGCCAGGAAAGCCCACACCTCCTCCACACCCACGGCCACAGGTACCAATGCTGGCACAGGTGACACGGCGGCAGCAAGGCTTGTGGCAGGGGATGCGGCAGCACCGGGGGGTCCCGCACAGGCGGCAGTAGAGGTGGGGATGTGGGAGGTGAAAGAGGGGGTGATGGAGAGGGCAGAGGGGGAAAGATCGGCAGAGATGGTGGGGGCTGGTGAGAACTCGGAGCGGGACGAGGCTGGGAACTCGGATGAGGATGACGCAAAGGACTCGGATTGGGTTTTGGGTGGCGCCGAGGACTCGGATGAGGACGTAGTCGAGTTTATAGCACCCGCTCCTTGTGCAACCAGGCTCGAGGTCGTGTCCTCAACAGGGGAGCCAGCGACCAGAGCTGCAGGGTTGGCAGGAGCAGCAGCCGGAGCGGAGGCGTAGGGGGAGGTGGCACGAGCTGTGGTAGAGAGGGCAGCGTTAGAGGGTATGGCCCGGGCGTATGCACGATCCATGGCCGCATGTGGTGCGGCGCCTGAGGCAGCGGCAGGAGAGGCTGCAGGTGTGGCAACAGCAGGGGCGGTTGCAACAGTGGCAGTCATTGGGACCGCGGCAAATGAGGTTGCCGCAGGAGTCACTGCAGGGGGTACTCCAGCGGATGCGGCTACGGCAGAGGCAGAGGCAGGAGAGGCTGCAGGGGGGAATGTGGAAAAGGCTGCTGCAGAGGCGGCAGCAGCACAGCCTGTAGCCACACGGGAAGGAACGACAGCCGTGGTAGGAGGGGCGGCTGTGAGGGCTGCCGCAAAGGCCTTTGTAGAAGGGGCAGGAGCAGAGGCACCGGCAGAGGTGCAGGCATCTGGGCCGACTGCAGCGGGGGCGGCAGAAGGAGATCCTGCAGAGGCAGCAAGCGCTAGGGGTGTGGCCGCTCCAGATGTGGCAGCAGCCGGGGGGGTGGTCGCTGCGGCGGCGGCAGCAGCTGGGGCTGCTGCAGAGGCGGCGACAGCTGGGGCCTCCGCGGAGGAGGCGGCAGCAGTGGATCATGCAAGCGGTGCATCAGCTAGGGCTCGGGATGCGGCAGAGGCAGCAGCAGCAGGGGCTGCCGGGGTGGATTTGGGGGCAGCTGCAGCAGCAGCAGGCACCCCTGCAGAGGCGGGAGCTGCGGTGCATGCGGCGGCAGCAGTAGCTGGGGTCGCCACCGTAGAGGAGGCAGCAGCAGCCGATCTTGCGAGGGGCGTAGCGACCGGGACTCAGAATGCCGCAGAGGCGGTAGTGGCTGGGGCCGCTACAGCGGCCAGGGCGGATGCCGGGGAAGCAGCAAAAGAGGAGTCCCTACTGTGGCGGCAGGGGCAGAGGCAACAGCAGAGGCAGCAGCAGCATCAGCAACAGGAGCACGTGCAGGGGCAGCTTTGGCAGCAGCTGGAGCAACAGGGAAAGGAGGGCTGCCGGCGGCGGCAGCAGCAGCAAGGCTGCCTACGGCGGAGGCGGCAGCAAAAAAAACGATCGTACAAGCTCTCGCACGGGCTGTTGCCGGGGGGGGGGATGTATGCACGTCTGGCAGCCACTGCGGTGGCAGCGGAGGAGGCAGAGGTAGGAGCTGCTGCGGGGAAGGCAGCCAGGGGGAGCGCCGTAGGGAAACCGGCAGCAATTGCTGCGGTAGGGAAGGCAGCAGCGGAAGTGGCGGCCATGAAAGTAGCAACGGGTCCCGCTGTTTCGAAGGCAGCAGCCAGCAGACACAGGGGCAGATGCAGGGGCTGATGCCCTTCCAGCAGCGGCTCCAGCTGCCCTCTCCCGTGCAGCACCTCCTGCTGCTCCTGTTGCTGCCTTCCCTGCTGTCGCCCCAGCTGCCATTTCTGTTGCTGCCATCCCTGCAGCAACCCCGGCTGTTGTCTCCCCTACGGCACGTTCTGCAAGTCCTGTTGCTGCATTCCCTGCAGCCGGTCTAGTTGTTGCTGTTGTTGAGGATCTGTTTTAGGCTTCTATCTGGGATGTTGTCAACTTAGTACATTTCTCTGTTATGTGTAATGTGTTACATTATATTAGGTGTAGACATTAGTGGTTGGGTCATATTAGGAATAGGGTGCCCCCCAAGTGATTTTATCAGAGGCTAGGCACCCCAAAATCCGAATTGGGGTACCTCACCACGCATCCCAACATTTGGGACGCGACTCCAACCTGGACCCACGTTTCTCAACCATGAAAATGCGGTTCCAGCTTGTGGAACCACAAATCCAACTTGTGGAATCGCGGTTCCACTAGTGGGGGCGCTTCCAGGCCCACTTTGAGGGTTCCTCACGTCCCCACCTTGACTATGGGCGACTTGAGCACCCAATTGGGCACCCCAAGCCTCTTGGGTGCCATTCTCCTCACCTGGACCAGCCCAAGTCGCCCAGCACTTCTCCATCTCTCTCTTCTTCACAATCTGGGCCTACTTAGCCTAATGTCTTTGTCATCTTTGTTTACTTTTTTGTCTTACACTTTCTAGGGCTCCTCTTGGAACCTATCTTTACCATCTCCAACTTGTGCATCTTACAGCTATGCACATCAAGTCTACTTTTCTACAGTTGCCTCCGGTGCGGCACCCCCTGCTGCCCCTGTGTCTGCTGTCACCGCCGCCGTCGCAGCAGCCGCTGTCGCGGCCCTGCTAGCTGCTGCCTTCGAAACAGCGGGACCCTTTGCTACTTTCACGGCCGCCGCTCCCGCTGCTGCCTTCCCTGCCGCAGCACTTGCTGCCGGTCTCCCTACGGCGCTCTCCCTGGCTGCCTTCCCCGGAGTAGCTCCTACCTCTGCCTCCTCCGCTGCCACCGCAGTGGCTGCCAGACATGCATACATCCCCCCCCCTGGCAACAGCCCGTGCGAGAGCTCGTACGACCGTTTTTTTTGCTGCGGCCTCCGCCGTAGGCAGCCTTGCTGCCGCTGCCGCCGCCGGCAGCCCTCCTATCCCTGCCGCTCCAGCTGCTGCCAAAGCTGCCCCTGCACGTGCTCCTGTTGCTGATGCTGCTGCTGCCTCTGCCCTTACCCCTGCCCCTGCCGCCTCAGTAGGGACTCCTTCTGCTGCTTCCCCGGCATCCGCCCTGGCCGCTGTAGCGGCCTCAGCCGCTACCGCCTCTGCGGCATCCTGAGTCCCGATCGCTGCGCCCCTCGCAAGATCGGCTGTTGCTGCCTCCTCTGCGGTGGCGGCCCCAGCTACTGCTGCCGCTGCGTGCACCGCAGCTCCCGCCTCTGCCGCCTCTGCAGGGGCGCCTGCTGCTGCTGCTGCCCCCAAATCCGCCCCCGGCTGCAAGGCGTACGGGGGGAAGGTGAGGAAACGGGGATTGGACAAGATGGAAAGAAACAGCCGGCAGGGAGAGGAGGAATTGGAAGGGGAGGGGGGGGTGGAGTGAAGAGCACAGGGTGTGGGGCAGGAAGATGCGAGGGTGGAAACTGACATGTGAGTTGGTGGGAGCAAGGAGGGGAAAATCAGAGGGCAAGGGGCTTAAAAGCAGTAAGGAAAGGGGAGAAACGCACTGGGCAAAGAGGCGAAGAGCAGTGGGCGAGGGGGGGAAATCAGTGGGCAAGGGCGGAAAGTTAGTGGGCAACAGGGGAAGAGTAGAGGGCAAGGCGAGGAAAAGCAGTGGGCAATGGGGAAGAAGTAGTGGGCAAGGAGGGGAAAGGCAGTGGGCAATGGGGGAGTAGTGGGCATGGGGGAAGGGACGGGAAACAGGGGGAAAGGAGAGGAAAGCAGGACGCAATACGGGGGCGAAACAACGGGGGACAGTAGGGGAGAGCGGGAGGGGATTAGAGTGTGGGAACCAAAGGAGAAGTGGGCAATCAAAGGAGAGGGTTGGGAGTGGAGAGAGGACCGAAGGATGGGTGGGACCAAATGGGCAGCAAATCGGGCAAGGGGGAAAAGCAGCGGGGAAGCGGGGGGGGGGGGAAGGCGCGGGAACAGGGGGGGGAAAGCAGCGGGCCAGGGGGGGAATAGCAGCGGGCAAGGGGGGAGAAGCAGCGGGCGGACAAGGTGGAAAAGCAACGGGCAATGAGGGAATAACAGCGGGCAAGGGGGGGAAAGCAGGGGCAAGGGAGGGTAAAGCAATGGGCAAGGGGGGGAGACGCAGCGAGCAAGGGGGGAAGAGGAGCGGCAAAGGGGGAAAAGCAGCGGGCAATGGGGGGAAAGCAGCGGGCAAGGGAGGGAAAGGCAACGGGCAAGGGGGGGAAAGTAGCGTGCAAGGGGGGAAACACAGCGAGCAAAGGGGGGAACAGCAGCGGACAGGGGGGGAATTACAACGGGCTAGGGGGGGAAGAGCAGGGCCAAGCGAGGGGAAGGCAACAGGCAAGGAGGGAAAAGCAGCGGGCATGGGGGAAAAGCAGCCCAGCAGCGGGCATGGGGGGGACAATGAGCGGCGAAGGGGAAAAACAGCGGGCATGGGAGGGAAAAGCTGCGGACTAGGAGGGAAAGAGCAGCGGCTTAGGGGGGAAAAGCGGGCAAGGGGGGAAGAGTTGCGGCCAGGGGGGGAAAGCAGCGGCAAGGGGGTGAAAGGCAGTGGGCAAAGGGGAAGAAAAGCTGCATGCAAAGGGGGGGGAAACCAGCGGCAAGGGAGGGAAAGTAGTGGCAAGGGGGGGGGGAAATCGGCGGCAAAAGGGGGAGAAACAGCGGGTGAGAGGGAGGAGCAGTGGGCGAGGGGGGGAAAGGCAGCGGCAAGGGGGGAAAAGCAGCAGGCAATAGGGGGGAGAAGTAGCGGGCAAGGGTGGAAAAGCAGCGGGCAACGTGGGGAAAAGCAGCGGCAAGGAGAGGGGAAACCAGCGGCAATGGGGGGGACAAGTGATAGCAAGGGGGGGGAAGAGGGGACGGCGAGCAGATGAAGAGGGGGAAATGTCGAGCTGGGGGGAGGGAGAAATGGCGAGCTGGGGGAAACGGCGCGCTGGCAGAGGGGGAAACGTCAAACTGGGGGAGGAGAAAGGGCGCGCTGGACAGAGGGTGGAAAGTCGGGCTGGGGGAGGGAAAACGGCGCGCTGGCAAAGGGGAGCTATCGCGCTGAGGGAAGGCCAAGAGATGGCTAGAGTGGGGGAATGGCGTCCTAGGAGGGGTGCTTAGAGAGCAGGGAACTTACGCGCTAAGAATGGTGAACGACGCACTAATAGGGGACATTACTGCGTGAGGAAACACACGCGGCGTGAAAGAAGACGTGGGTTCTTGCCTAATTTCGAGCCCTGAGTGGGGGAGGAAAGGGCAGCGTGAAAAACGAACTGGTGCAGAGATACGTTTTAGGGTTAGGTGGCGTGGCGTGGTTCTAAGCTAAGAATCTCCGTAGCTAAGAAACGCGCGACGCGACGGACTAGGTGAGAGAGAGAAGGGATGGGGGTGGGAGGCGAGCGAGAGTGACGCGGAGGACTTAGCCGAGGCGCGGTGGCGATATCGAAGGGGTGGCGAAAATCGATCGACCCCGCAGGGTCGCGTTCGCCACCGCTTCCATTGCCCCCTCTGCTCGCTGTATCCCCTCCTTCCCTGCTCGCCGTCCCCTGCTCGCCGTCCCCTGCTCGCCGTCCCCTGCTCGCCGTCCCCTCTTCCCCCCATTGCTACCGCTTGTCCCCCCCCTTGCCGCTGGTTTCCCCCCCCTTGCCGCTGCTTTCCCCCCCCCTGTTCCCGCGGCTTCCCCCCCCTGCCTCCCCGCTACTTTTCCCCCCTTGCCCGCTTTGCTGCCCATTTGGTCCCACCCATCCTTCGGTCCTCTCTCCACTCCTGAACCTCTCCTTTAATTGCCCACTTCCCCCCCGCTTTCCCCCATTTTCTTCGGGTTTCTCCCTCTCTTCCCCCCTTGGTTCCCCGACTCGTATCTTCCTGCCCCACACCCTACTGAGGCGGCAGGGGCAGGGGCAACAGCAGAGGCAGCAGCAGCATCAGCAACAGGAGCACGTGCAGGGGAAGCTTTGGCAGCAGCTGGAGCGGCAGGGATAGGAGGGCTGCCGGCGGCGGCAGCAGCAGCAAGGCTGCCTACGGCGGAGGCGGCAGCAAAAAAAACGATCGTACAAGCTCTCGCACGGGCTGTTGCCGGGGGGGGGGGATGTATGCACGTCTGGCAGCCACTGCGGTGGCAGCGGAGGAGGCAGAGGTAGGAGTTGCTGCGGGGAAGGCAGCCAGGGGGAGCGCCGTAGGGAACCCGGCAGCAACTGCTGCGGTAGGGAAGGGAGCAGCGGAAGCGGCTGCCATGAAAGTAGCAACGGGTCCCGCTGTTTCGAAGGCAGCAGCCAGCAGGGCCGCGACAGTGGCTGCTGCGGCGGCGGCGGTGACAGCAGACACAGGGGCAGCAGGGGGTGCCGCACTGGGGGCAACAACTGGAGCGGCTGCAAGGAAGGCAGCAACAGGACCAGCAAGACGTGCCGCATGGGAGACAACAGTTGGGGTTCCAAAGGGATGGCAGCAACAAGAATGGCAGTTGGGGCGGCAGCAGGGAAGGCAGCAACAGGAGCAGCAAGAGGTGCTGCACGGGAGAGGGCAGCTGGAGCCGCTGCTAGAAGGGCAGCAGCCCCAGCAGGAGGCGTAGTGAGAGAGGCAGCAGCCGGAGCTGCTGAAGGTAAGGCAGTAACTGGAGCAGCAGGAGGTGCTGCACGGGAGAAGGCAGCCCGGGCTGCTGCAGGAAGGGAACCAACCGGAGGGGTAGAAGGTGCTGATGGGAAGGCAAGGAGGGCAACAACCGGACCAGCAAAAGGTTCTACAAGGGAGGCAGCAAGCGCCGCCGCTGCCGCACGGCGGGCAAGCACAGCATGTGCCTCCCATATGGGAAAAAGGGGGGCAGAGGCTGGTGGGGAAGGGGGGGGGGGTGTGGAGAGGCAGCGGCAGCAGGAGCAACTGGGGTGAGGGCTAAGGAGGCCGGACACAGGGCAGTACCTGGGCCGGCAGAGACCGTCTCATCCCCTTCCCCTTCCCATATCTTCCCCCTTCCCCCCCCTTCTTCCCCTCCTCCCCCTACTTCCCTTGCGGTCCCCCGTCCGCCCCTTCCCCCCCTTACTCCCAATCCCATGCATGCAGGGGTAGGTGCAAGGGAGTCTGGAAGAGGGACGGAAGCGAAGTCACCATCTTCTACGCCCACCCCTCCCCCCCGACCCTCCCCCCATGTATTACCTCATCCACCAGCGGCGCCGGGCCCTCGCCCTTGGCTACAACCCATGGCTATGGGCGGGGCAGCCCGAGCCCTGGCGTTTTTGGCAGACCCCTGCTCACCCGAGCCAACGATCGGGACTCAGCCTCACCACTCCCTTTCCCCCCACCCCCTCCCCTTGGGGTCGAGTGTACCCCACGAGGCGGCCGTTGAGGATGGCACGGACAATGCTGGTCCGCGCTGGATATATCCTGGCCATCTCAACCCTCTCATGCCCTCCCCCACCAGCCCTCGCACCGGATCGAGGAGCACGAACAACAGCCGGGCAGGCTGCTCCCTCCTCCCCTCCACCCATGCAGGCTGCCGCGCCGGATGCCTCGACTTGGGTAGCCCAAGGTGGGGCAGCTCCTGCCGGACCCCCCTCGTCAGTCCGCCCCCCACCCTATTCCACCCCAAGTGCCTCCTCCCCAGACCAGACCATAGCACACACGCTGTTAGCCACATGGGCGCTTCCCATGGGAAAGGTGAGCGGGGTGAACCTCCGGCAGGGGGGAGCAACCTGAATCAACTTTGTCTCGGCCCTCGCCTTCTCAACCTGGCAGATCCCACTTCCCAAGCCCCGCAGCTAAGCCTCGGGCAAGGCGGGGGTCCCCCGGCGCCCACTCCGCTTCCCTTCCCGGCCGCTGGCCCTGCCTTGCCTACGCCCCCCCCCCCCCCCTACCTCTCGCACACATCCCACCCGCCTCCTTTCCCCTGCAATCCAGTCGGAACTCCCCTCGCGCCCCTTCGTGCAGCCCTCAGGTTTCATGTCCCGCACGGCAGGCGACCAAGAGAGCGCTTCCCTCTTGGACCCTCCCTCGTCACTTCCGTCTCACACACCCCCCAGCCCAGCGTCGGGGCATCCAACCTTCCCACCCCCTCCCTTGAGCGTCTCACTAACGCATAACCGTTACCCCACTGCCCAGCCACCTCTCTTGCCCTGCCCATCTACTCCCGCCCGGCCCATCAGCGCCAACAGGGGCGAGGCGAGAGCGACCCCGCCATCTCACCCTCGTCCCTCCCGCCCCACACACTCTCTCCTCTGCAGCAGTCAGGCGGTCGCAGCGAGCTCCTCATCCGCGATGAACGTAGACAAAGAGGGAGAAGAGGATCGGCATGACGTCTCCTCCCAACCCTACGTCCCCCCTTAACGTCGCACCGC